GTCTTATTAAGTCTTGCCGTGCATGTGGTTTTTATCTGAGAATTCTTCCAGCTCTCCCTATGTTTTCCAGCAGAAGTCATTTGCAGGTGAAAGTAGAAATGCCTTTGATAGTCTCTTAAAGGATCCAGGAAAAATAGTAAGTCAGCTTGTGGTGGTGCTGATGGTTGTGTGTCGTGGAATTGGTTCCGACTCATAGTGACCCTTTATAAGGTTTCTAAGGCTGGAAATCTTTACAGGAGCCGAAAGCTTCATCTTTCTCCCGTGGAGCAACTGGTAGATTCAAACTGCTAACCTTGAGGTTAGCAGCTGAATTTGTAATCCACTACGATACCAGGGTTCAGGTAAATTTGTAAGAAACTAAAATTAGATTCTAAAATAAAGCTCTTACATATATTCAAGATTGTGTTTAAGCATCAGTCGGAGGGTTTGACCATGTCTGTGGGTTTATAAATTTCATATAATTTATAAAATTCAAAAGAGAACTCTGTTCTAATAAGCTTTTCTTTGCAGTTTTCCTTTTTACCTCTTCTGAGAGTCAAGGGTGTTTTTCATTGTTATTGTCACTGCTGATGAAAAGTAGAGCAAAATTCTTTTCTGTTTGAATTATTGTGCTGGCTCATGGTTTATTATTATTCCAACTCATAGCTACTCTGTATAGGGTTTCTGAGGCTGTAAATCTTTATGGGAGCAGAAAGCCTCATCTTTCTCTCCAGGAGTGAATGGTGGATTTCAACTGCCAGTAGGGTGATCACTAGCCACGAAAAAAGTTAAAGATCACATGGTCAAGATAAGCCAGTTCAGACGCGAGGCAAGGAGCTCAGACTGCCTATGGGCACTGAGCCGAGGTCTCTGCAACTCCAGGCACACTGCCTAAAACTCATGGTGCTCCCCCATCAGGATTCTTATTGAGCCCAAGAGTTCTGAACTTGGAACTAATTCCAAACCTTTGCTGAAATTGGAAGATGTCATATCTGGGTACAATATGGAGCTCCCGTATGGGACTTCTGTCCAATATAATACAAGTAAGCACTGGCTTTGTCATGTGCTTCTTCTACCTGCTTAGTGTAGTCTCACTAGGAATGTGGCTATTTTGAAATTCTCTATGCAGATTTAAAACCTCAGAAGATTTACCCCCTGCTAGGAATTTTATGTAATACTTGGTAACCAAGGTTTCTATCAAATTCTTAATATCCTTGATAAATGAATCTAGATTTTTTTTTTCCTCTCCCTTATTAGGATGCTAGTTTGGGGGTTTGTGCTTTAAAATAAGTGTACTAGAACTTATTTGTAATTTAAATGGTGACTTTAAGAAAATGAGTTTTCATTTTTGTCTTGACTTTCCCTTTTTAAAAAAAAAAAAAAAATTTGTTTCATTTTGTGGCATATGGTTGTGGAAAAAGTTGTTTCTGTCCTTTTTGCAAGTTCTTGCAGACAGTTTGGTCCAGACTTCCAGTTTTGCATGCCTAGGTTTTTGTGACCCTGAGAAAATCTGGAAAAAGTGTTGTTTCAACATTTAATTGGGGCAATTCTATTTTCAAGGAGCTCTGGGTCAATATGATCTGACACACAAATTGGTGTGGAAGCTACAGGGAGTCTCAGTCCTTTGACCAAAATTCTGAGAAACCCAATGCTCCTCTTCATTTTTGCTAAGTGTTGTCATCTGACTTTTCGTGTTCCCGTTTTAGGTGTAATCACCAGATATTGCAAGACATTTTTACAGGGGAACAGGCAGCAAGCAGTTCCCCTCCTGTTGTGAAACACAGATTCATTGCTTAAGAGGGAACTTTTTTGGTTAACCTAACCAGAACTCCTTGAAATTATACAGGTAGTTTTCTGTTGTGTGTTGCTTTATTTTGTGTTTATGTTGTTCTCAGAATGCATCCTGGTGTGGTGCTGTAGGAAAATGCACTGGACCTCAAGGTCAGTGGTTCAAATTTACCAGCTGCTCCTCAGAAACCCTGTACAGGGTCGCTATGAGTTAGAACCGACCCAAAGGCACTTTACAACATGTTGTAACACAGAACATCATAAAGGAAACTCAGGCAGTGATTTTATAAGCCTGTTCATCTGACTTCAGAGACCCAGTAAGTGTCAAATCTGCTGTGGGTCACCTTGGGAAAGTGTGTGACATTCCATTTTCAGGACTTCTGTTTTCATCTTGACAGCATTCTAAATGTTTCCTTTTTTCCTTTCCTGAGGCTTGTCCATTGCTGTGTTATTAAGTGCCGTCAAGCTGGCTCTAACTCATAGCAACCCTATATAATAGGGTTTCAGAAGAGTAGCTGGTGAGTTCAAACTGTCGACCTTGTGGTGAGCAGTCCAGTGCTTACCCTACAGCACCACACCAGGACTCCATTACGCAGTCCAGTTAAACAGTGCCTATAGGAGCCTGTGACACTGTGGGCTAATGCGTCAGACTGCAAAGTCGTTTAAACTGCAAGGTCGGTGGTTCAAGCTCACCAGCTGCTCCTTGGAAACCCTATACAAGGTCACTATGGGTCGGAATCGACTCGATGGCACTTCATAACAACAACATAGAAAAATTATTTATTTTTATTGGTATAATAAGGACTTCTCATGCAAAAACCTTTATGAAAATAAAAGTTTTACCTTCTAAAGCAAAAACCTTATGCAACTATAATTGTATTACTAAATTAAATAACATTTCTAAGGAAATTGTGCTTTGCTTTTATGACATGTATACTTATAAATAAAATTGTTTTGATATTATAAAGAATGAGATTAATTCATTCTGACAGGTGTTCACGTCTATGTTGCTTTTGTTAGGTACCAACGAGTTGGTTCTGACTCATATTCATGATCCTATGGACAACAGAAAAAAACATGAAATACTGCCTGATCCTGTGCCAGCCTTAACAATTGTTGTAATGTTTGAGCCCATTGTTGTAGCCACTGCATCAAGCCATCTTGGTGGGAGTCTTCCTCTTTTTCAAAGACTCTCTAGTTTGCCAAGTATGATGTCCTTGTCCAGGGACTTACCCCTCATGATAACATATCCAAAGAATGAAAGACAAACTCTTGCCATCCTAGCTTCAAAGGAGCACTCAGATTGTACTTCTGTCAAGATAGATTTGTTTGCTTTTCTAACAGTCCATGGAATTTTCAATATTCTTTGCCAACACCATAATTTAAATGTATCATTAGTTTTCTATAGACTTCCTTATTCATTGTCCAACTTTCACATGCATATGAGGATGTTGAAAATGCCATAGGCACAGCACAGTCCTCAGACTGACATTACTGCTCTTTAGCACTTTAAAGAGGTCTTCTGCAGTAGATCAGCCTAATGCAATACATTGCTTGATTTATGAACTGCAACTTCCATGATCCAAGCAAATGAAGTCTTGGATAGCTTCAGTCTTTTCTCCATTTGTCATGTATTATTTATTAGTCCAGTTGTGAAGATTTCTGTTTTCTTACATTGAAATGCAATTCATACTGAAAGCTGGAGTCTTTGATTGTCATCAGTAAATATTTTAAGTCCTCTTTGCTTCCAGCAAGCAAGATTGTGTCATCTGGTTACTGCAGTTTTTAAATAAGTTTTCATCCAATCTTAATGTCACACTCTCCTTGGATTATTTGCTCAGCATACAGATTAAGTATGGTGAAAGGATTTAACCTGACACACAATTTTCCTGATTTTAAACTACTCAGTATCCCTTGTTCTGTTAGAAATGGCTGCCTCTTGGTCTATGTACAGGTTTCTCATGGGCACAATTAAGTGTTCTAGAATACTCATTCTTTGTAATGTGATCTATAGTTTATGATCCACACTGTTGAATGCCTTTGCATAGCCAATACAACACAAATATACATCTTTCTAGTATTACCTGCTTTTAGCCAAGCTCCAGCTAACATTAACAATAAGATCCTTCATGCCACATCTTCTTCTGAATCTGGCTTGAATTTCTGGCAGCTCCCTGTTGATGTACCACTGCAATTATTTTTTCATTATTATCTTCAATGAAATATTACTTGCATGTGACATTAATGATATTGTTCTATGACTTATGCATTCCATTGGACCTCCTTTCTTTGGAATGGGCACAAAGATCTTCCAATCTGTTGGACAGATAG